TAGTGAGAGGCCCGCGTACCGCAAAAAAAAAAAAAAAAGTTTACTTTGGTATAAGGAGAAGGTTAGGATCCAGTTTTTCCTTTCCCCTCCAAAATGGCAAGCCTGTTTTTCCTACACTATTTACTGAATAACTCATCTTTTCCTCAAGATTTCAAATATCTGTTGTGGAATTTTATGTGACCGAGATAAGGGTTTTAAAAACAGTTCTATAAAAATAAACGCCATAAGCGATGTTAGAGAAAATGGTGGAGTAGGAAGCTTTAGGTGTCAATCCCTCCACTAAAACAACCAGTAAACTGTTAAAATGATCAGAATAAACCATTTCTGAACTCTGGAATCTGATCAGACACTTACAGCAACCAATGCAATGCTTGATGAAAGAAGAGGCTGCTAAACCTCATTAAGAGAGCAGCATGCTGCAAACCAGCAATAATCCCCATTCCTCGGCTCTGCCACAATTTGTAGGACAGTGGCCCAATTTCCAAGAGTGCCTGGCTGATGCCAGGGTAGCAAGAACAACACTGTCCAAAAATTTGGGGTTTTGCATCTTGGCCAGTTTGGCCAACCCACACAAGCTTTTTCTTGGCCCCCTCAGGCTGCAGTGGTTTTCCCAGTAGCATCCATGGAAGATTTTAAAATACAAACACCACTCCCCATTCCTTGGGCCCAAATATTTAAGGAAATCTCTGTCAGGACACAGCCTATCACATAGATAAAGCAACAGAAACTTCCGTGACTACATGCAACAAGGAATACAGACTTTGCAAAACAGTTTAGAAAAAAATCGCCATATAGACAACTGCAGCCATCAACAAGAAACAAAAAAAATCCCCTAGGAGGGGAAGAATCTGATTTCAAGAGCTACCACATTAGAATACTAAAAATATCCAGTTCTGAACCAAAAATTACAAAGTATACAAAGAAAAAGGAAAACACGGTACATTCACAGGAAAAAAAGGATTAGAAACTATCCTTGAAGAACTCCAGACATTGTTAAGTGCTAGTCAAAGAACAGGAGAACAATGGCAATAAAGAGACAGAAATTATAAAATGTAACCAAACAGAAATTCTGGAGCTGAAAAGTGTAACAGCTGTATTATGGGCTGAGTTGTATCCTTCCAAAATTCCTATGTTAAAGCCCTAATCCCCAGTACTCCAGAATGTGACTATATTTGGATTTAGGGCCTTTAAAAAGGTAATTAAATTAAAACGAGGTTGTTAGGTTGGGACCTAATCCAAGCTGACTGGTATTCTTATAAGAAATGAAATTTGGACAGAGAGACATCAGGCATGCATGCAGTGTGAAGACACAGCGAAAAGCTGGCACCTGCAAGCCAAAGAGAAAGGCCTCAGGAGGAACCAAATCTGCCAACATTTTGATCTCAGACTTCTAGCCTCTAAAATTCTGAAAAAATAAATTTTTGTTGCTTAGGTCACCTAGCCTGTGGTATTTTATTATGGCAGACCAAGGAAACAAATACAAGTTGAAATTAAAAATTCATAATAAGGAGTCCAATGGCAGATTTAAGCAGGCAAAAGGAAAAAAATTCATCAAACTCAAATGTAAAGCAATTGAAATATGCAGTC